CCCCCCCCCCCTCCCCGGTGGTTTTTGGCCAGGGGGGGTGGCCCCCCCCTCCCCCCCTGCCTGTATATACTATCTGAGGAAAAGAGCCTATTTCTTCGAATCTTCATATCCTGAAGAAACTTCGTCGAAAAATTCTGAATTTTCTTTTTTGCAAGCTAGTCTAGTTGAGGACTTTATGTGGACAAAGTTTTATGTCAAAATTCGAAAATATGGTTGCACTGGAAAAGTAGGGTCCTACGGAAAAAATTCATTAAAATATCAATATCTCGCTAGGAACAAGCCATGGGCACGAACTTTTTTTTACCCATAGACACAGCTCACTAAGGACTACAAGATGCACGAAATCCCGACTGAAAAGCATTCCGACACCTGGGAATGTTCACTTTATGAAATTGTTCATTATTAGAAGGTTATTAAATTTTGCCTGTTGCAATCACTTGTCGATTGCACAAAGTGATCTTGTTCTTTTTTCTAACAATTAATTAATTCAACTTTTTTTAATCACAGGCAAATCAATACTTGTTGACTTGGTTTGATGCTACTAGTCATTAACACAAAAACGACGAAATATTAATACAAACACTGTTGCTATTGTTTAATACTTTTTTTTTTCATTTAAGTATTCACGTCTAGTTCATTTTCTTTTCCTATATGTCACATAATTGCTTATCAAAACACTATTTTTTTCTCGCTTTGTACGTGAGTGATAAAAAAAAAATATAATGACTGTGAGTATTTTTTCAATTAGTCAAGGAAGGAACGAGCTAGAGAGTTGCGGTTTTTACCGTTCAAGAGAAAATACTCGGGGTTATAAGAGTTCTTGATGGAGATTTTTCGAAAATGATGTTTTGTAGCTATCACTCTTTCGATCTACTCAAGGTCAACATTCCTGAGATCTCGATCTTCGATTTTAACCAATTGACGTGTGATCATTGATTAGAATGGTGATATTTGTTTTTAAGTTCGAAATGATATGACACTATTATCTTAATATTTTTGAAATGTTGACTCCTTCGTTACATGAAGATCACTTGTGTGATTTCAGAAATATCGAGATAATAAAGATGTATTTTGATAGTTGTGAGTTTTATTTCTTGAGTTATTGCAAAAATATCCATGGTCATTATACTTTTGGAAACATAGTTATGAATTCAAATATTTTACTTACTCAGATTCTTGCCGTTCTAAAAGTTCTTTAAGTTGTTTAAGTCGAACAGGATTTTCTAAAATTCTTTTTTTTTGTTCGATTTCTTTTTTCTTAATTAAATATAATGGATCTTCACGAATTTTATTAGCTAAATCAGTAGTTGATGTTGTTGTATTATCTTCAGTTATATCATTTGATTGTGGATCAGCATCAAATTTTTTTCCAAGTAAATAATCTTCAGATTTCGTACGATCACCGGTATAAATCCATTCAAGACGAGGTTCTTGTGGTTCACGTTTTTCACGATTAAGTCGTAGATTTTTTTGACGTTCTTGTTCATCGTACATAGTTCCTGTAGGCTCTTGAGCAATACTCTTTCGCATAGACATTTTAAGAAATTTCTAAGGAAAAATTTCAACAATAGACAAAGACTTTAAAAGGAATCAACATGTCTCATATTGGTTCATATTGATTCAGCGTATCGAAAAATCCAATACAGATGCCGCTAGAAGCAAGTTTGAGAGAAAAAAAAAAGTTTGATTTATGTACATCCAGTCTATTCTGTCTAAATATTCATTTAACAATTGTTGTGTTTTACAAAAATTTTTTTTGACAACGATTTGTAATTGTACTCTTCCGCTTATAATTTCCGTATCTATTAAATCTAGAAATTCATAAACAAAATAGATTTTATGAAAGAAATAGTAAACAGTAAGATATAACCATGGCTCAGAAATCAGAAATTCAAAGAAGTAACATTGGAATCCGCGTTCCGCGCACCTACACTGAGACTTTTTGTGTCCATCTTTGTAATCCTTCCCAGTCGAATTATATAAGACACTGCTTCAGCTTTCCTAATTGTAGCATATCTTAAATATCTTAATTGCTTAAAACTCTAGGAATTCAAGAAAAATGTGTAGAAGTGTTTCAAGCGCACTCATTATGAAATGATTTTGATTTCCTTCGTTTACACTTTGATTGCAATTATTACTGCTTATTAATAGCATAGAGATTCTGTATTATGTAAAAAATGATAACTTACATTAACGGGATGAATGTGTATATATTTATAACGATGCTTGTTTCGTTATTCATTTTAAGTTCATATTTTATGTACGTGAGTATCAGTGAGGATTTCGTTTCACAACAGATCAAATTCGTGAAGTTGTATTGGTTAGATCGTTTACACATTCGGCCTTCATACTTTACGTGTTTTTTTTACTGTAATAAAATCTATATTGTGTGTTGCTGAAAATTCGTTTGAACTATTTTTGAATCTTCAATATGAGTTTTCACTCATCTTGAGTAAATTCTACAAAGCAGTGACTTTAATACGCATGAGAAGTTGTCATCTTGTACTGCGATGATTTCGAGATCGAATTGAAATCTTTTTTTTTCAAACTTTCACGAGTAGGTTGGGTTACATCAATGAATACAGATGATTTAATTAAATCATCAATCGATTTCGTTCGTTTCTGTCTTACAATTAGTCTTCTACTTTAATAAGTTGATCAGTTGAAACGTGATTTCAATAAAAAGAGGATAGGTTCTCAGGAAAAAAGAAATACCATATGTTTTATTAACTAAACAAGAGTTACTCTTCCCAACTGTTCATAATCAAGGAAGATATGCTGGCAGTGGTACAATTAAACATCTATATTAAAGTAATACTAATTATCGTTATCATCAAAAACAAAGAATTTTCTCTCATAATTACCATTAATTCATTATAAATGATTTTTTCTTGACAGCTAATCTATTTTAAACAATTCTAGAAGTTTTTTTGTAAAATATTAGGAACTAGCTGAAGTATCCGACGTTGCCCGGGAAACTTCAATATTGCATGCCTGACATATTGGAAAACGGTGGCCTTATGGTTTCCTATAAGCTATCGATCTTGGATATTGCAAAATGCACTTAGATCTCTTTCCCTTTTCAACTTTTTTTTAGCTAGACGTGGGCGGGACCAGTGCTTTTCAGTTCGGATCCCGGTTCCGGTCAAAAATTTGGGACTGGGATCGGGACCACTTTGCTCATCTCTAGTTTTGACATTTTAATATTTTTTAATCTACATTAGTTTGAAGTTAAAAAAAATCTTCTTTGTAAAACGTTGTCATCGTTTTGAAACATTTTTGTTGAAAACTTGATCAAAGTAATATTGCTGATCATTAAAGTACGCTAACATCCGATTGGTCAGCAAATCGACCAATCAAATTTGAGCATTCTTTCATACCCTAGAATCTCTAGTAGTGAATGGCGAAAACTGCAGGTCTTTATCTCCTTTCGTTCTCAGGTCATTGAGAAGACAGTCGCACACACGGACTTTTTGAATGGGACACTTACTATCGTGCTCCAACAATGGGGTCACTAAGTACATCGGAGATAAAAGTTTTTGATTGAAAAGTAGCCCTTGACCAAGGGCAGTGCGAAGATATAAAAGCAAGATGCAAGTACCTCAGAAATTGGAGAACATTTTCGACATTTTTTTTTAAACTGGGGGCAGCTTTCTCCACCCCCGACCTCCTCTCGGCCCTGCCGACCCTGTCTTGACCTTCCTTCCCCTGGACCCAAGGGTGTGCCATGCAAAGTTTGGCTGCTCTAGCTCTTACCGGGACTGAATGCATAAAGAACAAACAAACAAACAAACTTTCTTTATTTATTAGATACAGGTTGCTGGACTTGCATAAAAAATTTTCAAAAAAATTTTGTTCAAGGGCTTTCATAGCATTGTTTTGAATATTTGCCAATTTGAATGCAGTTATTTTTCATTTGAGAAACAAATGTTCGTAATTGGTGTAATTTATTACTAATTCTTCCATAATGAGCTAATGATTTCCAATTATTTTCAGTTATGTTTAATTATGTTGTTGTTCATGACGAATATAACAATATTCATAATGTAAGAATTTATGAATAAATAAAACTTTCTAATCGTTATATTTCAATGTGGAATGATGAACAAGAAATCGTACGATTGATTTCAATAAGTTGTTAAATATAAAAGATATACATATAGTAAATAAAGTTAACCGAAAATGATTGAAAGTAGTTAACTCAATATGAAAAAAAAAATTGAACATTTCTTTCTCAAATGAAACATGAATGTATCTGAATTGATAAACACAATTGTGAATCAAGTTTTGACTATAAATATTCAATTGCATTAAAAACACTTCATTAACAACTTTATGAGATATCAGATAAGTTGAATAAGTATATGTAACAAAAAACAACTACACTAGGAAATCAGAATTCTGCTAGAAAAATAAAATTCTAAGAAAAAACTTGTTTATTTGAATTTATATATGAAAGATTTTATATACGTACATATACATGCCAGTATTCTTTTATTTTGTTTGTGGTAGAATTCTGTCACTGCTAACATGCATAGTTCTGTGCTTTTCTAATCCCGTTTGATCTCTATTATAATGCCTATATCTTTCATGATTCATCTGTTGTTTTTTTTTTTTTTGAGTTTGTCAATTGATGTTCATATTTCTATCAATATACACTTATTGATGTTCGTGAATTTACCGTAAGACTACACTTTCACGCGTTTTCTTTCCATCGTCGTCATTACTCCGAAAAAATGATTCGAACACTTAAAATATTTTATGTCTCTTTCGCTTATCAGTTAACTAAACACAACAGGTGACTCTTTATTTATGTATCTTCAATAGAGATAGTATTCTTATTGTCATTGGTTATTATCTTTGGATAAGCATGTATGTTTAATCAAGCAAATCATCTATGAGGGCATATTTGTTTACTGCATAGATATTATCATTTTTAGTTTCTTTCAAAAAGAAAAAATTTACAAAGCAGGTCATGAATGATACGCAATCACTAATATCATCAGTAAATCGTTGCTCCATTGATGATACCAATAAGAAGAGGAGACGATCGGTGATCAACACGTAAGACATAATTGAACTTTTCGAAAAGTATAAACGATAATACTGTATTCATATAGATTGTCTAATTGGTGTCAATGTGTCTCTGTCAAACCGATTCGACAGGTATATGAAAAATTGGACGATGATGTTGATCACACTCAGACTGAACGAACTGTTGGATATATTCAACTGGTAAGTGGATTAAGAAGTAATTCAGAGTGAACAATAGAATGTTTATTTAACTTTTCGATAGTTTCGTTTTGCTGATGGGATCGATCTTCTCATGATAGTTCTTGGATTATGTGTCGTCTTAGTATATAGCATTGCATTTACAGCACGTTTTGTTGTTTTTGGACGACTTACGAGCATATTTGCGTCGCAATCTTTTATTGATCAATGTTCTCTACAACAAAATACGTCATTTAATCTTACCAATGGTAGAGTGTGGTCGTGGAATGCTGTACAAAATACTTTTAACTATGATCGATTTCAAAAGTGAGAAACGGTCACAAAATATGTTGATGCGCTTCAACTATTTTCGTTATTTATTGTTCATCAATTTCAGACTCTGTCGAAATGAAAGTACCACCTTAGCACCATTATGGTCATCTTCTACAACTAATTTTTATGTTGATGTGAGAAATCAACTGCGCTGGTTGTTAAGTAAGCAGAAACAATATAACTTTTCAGTTACTAAATAAAAGAATGATTTACATCTTGAAATGTACGTGCAGTCATTGGTTCAATCGAATTCATATGTGTTGCTGTCCGTTATTTTCTCTTCACTATGATCGGTAGACGGCAAGCCTCTCGAATACGTATTCGTCTTTTACAATCACTTCTAAAACGCGTATGTTAACCACGTTCATCTTTATGTAGACATAACGAATGGAGCAGAATAAATAGTCTCATCATTGTTTTCTTTTATTTATGAAATATGACAGAGAATGAGTGTTGAAGTAAGCTATGAGAAAATTAATTCCTTTCTCTCCGTACAAACTCTAACAAACATTGTTAGAAGTTTCCATTTATGTCTATCATGATTTCAGACCTTTTTTTTGCTTTTCTCAATTTTTTTTCTATGGTAATTTGTTTCGTCATGCGTTCACAATTCATAGTTTTAATAAATTTAGTAAAATTAGTGTCACATACGATGAGTTGACTCCAAAAAAAAAGCATTACAACATCTGAGAGCATCTCAACACAAGCTTCAATATTGTAAGAGTTAAAATATCACAATAGAAAAGTTTGAAAACGAAATAGGTTGAACAAATACATAATGGTTCTACATAATTCTGTAATATTTGAAAAATAGATATCGAAAAAAACAAGAGGAGACAATTTATTCGGCCGCATCCGTTACAACTTAGATTGTTGCACATGTGTCTTTAGACCTAGGACAGTTCCATATCAGTTCCGCTCTTGAGAACTGTTCAAACAGTTTTTTGAAAGTGGTCACAGTAGCCAGTTCATAGAACTGGGAACTGTCCTAGGTCTATGTGTCTTATTTATTTCTCTCTTTTATTCATAGAATATTTCCTATTGTGATACGAATTCGATTAGTCAGCTTAGTGTCAAACTGTTCAAGTAAATGATTTTTTGTATATTCTTCCAACAAAAATAATATCTAGCTTTCTCATCCCATAGCAACATTGACACATTGAGTAAAGCCATCGGTTTTGAGTTATCAATGGTGCTCGTAGCATTATTTTCCACTATTGTCAGTGCTTTTGTTGCCTTAATAATTAATTGGAAGTTAACACTTGTCATACTGTGCACAATGCCATTAACTATTGGTGGATCATATGTTTTTTCAAAAGTAAATGAAATTGTTGATGATTGATTTAATTTATACTATTTCTAAAAGCTCACCGCCAAAGAAACAAGAAACGAATTGGATATGTATTCAAAAGCAGGAGAGGTCGTTCAGGAAGTGTTCAGTTCTCTTCGTACTGTGCTTTCACTCAATGGCGAAAAGATTGAAGAAAAAAGGTAGGAAATATATATCTATTGATAAGTGAACTTTGTAAGTCATTAGCCATAGCAATGTTCTAATTTTATTGTTCATTTAGATATGAAAGCAAATTACAGGCAACTCGTTGGAGTAGTATGCGCAAAGGTGCTGTGTTTGGTCTTCTTGGTGGATGGATCTATCTAATAGGATATCTCATTTATTCAATTGGTTTTGCTTTCGGCTTATCTCTCATGAGTCACGAAGGATATGATAGACTCAGTTTTAGTGATCTTCTTGTAGTAAGTTATTCAGTTCACCGATTAGATTTCGAAAAATAAGGGATTCTTGATATTCGAGTAGATAATAATTCCTTTGGCACGAATTATTACTAATATTGCCTTTGTTAGTCCTTTCTTTCAATTATTAGAAGAAGCTCGAGGTGCTTTAGCACCTGTATTTCGATTGATTGACGAGGTAGAGTTGTTTCCAATAATGTACGATTTTATCTCTTCACTATTACATAATATAGGAAGAGGTGATAAGTATGAACGAGACACAAATACTGAAAGATTCTGTTATTTGTAAAGAAGCTATCGACATGAATGGTGATATTCAATTTGATAATATCAACTTTGTCTATCCAGCTCGACCAGATGTCTTAGTCCTACGAAATCTTACTTTGACGGCTCGTGCTGGTGAGACAACAGCTTTAGTCGGTACAAATGGTTCTGGTGAGTATTTTACAAAAAAAAAAAAACTATAGATTGATAGTCTATAATTTGTTTAACAAATAGGTAAGAGCACATGTGTTTCACTTCTACTTCGTTTTTATGAACCTTCATCTGGTCACATCTCAATTAGTGATCGACCAATAACTGATTACAATTTAACACAACTTCGACAAAACATTGGTGTAGTTAGTCAAGAACCTGTATGTCAGTCTCTTTGTATTGTGATTTTTGTACTTAATATTATTTTATTTAGATTCTCTTTTCTACAAGTATCTATGAAAATATTCGCTTTGGTAAAGAAGATGCAACAAGAATCGAGATCGAAGAAGCAGCACGTCAAGCTAATGCCCACGATTTCATAATGAAATTGCCTAATGTTTGCATCGAATGCTCCTTTATAATTTTATGTACACTATTTTCTATTGTCATAGAAATATGATACAGTCGTTGGTGAACGCAGTGTTCAATTGAGTGGCGGTGAAAAGCAACGTGTGGCTTTAGCTCGTGCTCTTGTCAAACAGCCATCTTTACTTTTATTGGACGAAGCAACAAGTGCTCTTGATCACACCAATGAAAAGATCGTCCAAGAAGCACTCGATAAAGCTTGTAAAGGTTCGCACGTACCTTTCTCTTTCAACCATATCATCTATATTTACACATAGATCGGACGACTATTGTGATCGCTCATCGTTTGACAACAATTGAAAAGGCGCATCGTATTTATGTGTTGGATAATGGACGTGTTATCGAACAAGGTACGCACGAGATACTGATGTCAAAAGAAGGTGGTCGATATCGTAAGATGATGAACGCTCAACATACAGAAAAAATAGAAAATGGTATTGATGAAACAATGGATCTCACACAAATAGAAGATGATGATCAACAACAAATATGTACGTATATACTTTTAACAAAAGAATATTTCGAACAAGTTCGTTTTCTTTTCAATTAGTCGATCGCTCTCGACAGAGTAGTTATAATAATCCTGACGTTCGAGATGAAGTAAAGTATAGGAATATGTTTTAGTCGGGATATTTTTTGCATGTAGAGCGTACTTTTAATAGGCATCATCGACTGCAAATCGTCGACCTGTTTTTTTGCGACTTTTGTTGATGAATGGTCCAGAGTGGATCATTATTCTGATTGGCTGCGTAATGTGTATCATAAACGGAGTAGGTCAATCAATCCAAGTCATTCTACTTACGAATACAATTTCTGTAAGTGATTTTCTCGCACAATACGATCAACATTATCATAATTGGTTGTTTACAGGCATTCGGAGCATGTACCGATGAAGAACGACGTCATCAAATTTTCAAATATTCTCTTTTCTTTTTGTTGATAGGTGTTGTCTTTTTGGCCTTTCGTTTTATTCAAGTAGAAGTATATTTCATTAAACGTTTCATTTTTGTTTTTTTGTATCAATAGTATACTGCTTTTGCTGTGTCTGGCTCAAAATTGACCGAGCGTATTTGTGCTAAAGCTTTTGCACATTATCTACGTCAAGAAATGACCTTTTTTGATAATCATGAAAATAGTTCTGGAGCTATTTGTAATCGTCTCTCATCGGATGCATTGGCTATTCAGCAGATGGTTGGCTCTCGTCTAGGCATCGTATTTGAATCAGTCGCGATGTTTGGACTTGGTATTATTCTTGGATTTGTATTTAGTTGGCAATTGACATTAACCATGTTGTTTTTTATTATCTCTTTGTTTGTTCTTTCTTTCATACAAGTATGTTGGCAAGCTCGATTAAATAAACATTCTGATGATATTTTTGGATTAGCAAGTTCGGTAAGATCAACATTTTTCATTACCATATTATCTACACTGAAATATTGAAAATAAATCGTTTTTTTTATTAATAGCTCGCTGTCGAAATCATTCACAATATGCGTACAGTGAAAAAATTGGCAATCGAAGGAGAATTTCTACGTCAATTCTCCAATTTGATTCATAAAGAATACAAGTCAGTCTTTCAATTGTTCTGTTTCCTTAATCTCTATGCATGATTTTCTCATAGGACTCGTCGAAATGATATAATAGTATCCTCCTTAATAGAGAGTATCTATTGGGGAACTGGTCCATTCCTTTTGTTGGTTCTCTGTTGGCAAGCTCTCCTCCTTGTTGAACAAAAAGAACTGAAAATGAACAATATCTCTATGTATACAAATAGAAACCTTTAAAATCTATTTTATCTATATTTTCTTCTAGAGTTTTTGCCTTTTATATATTCGCCTTAGAATCTCTGCGATGCAGCATGACCTCGTAAATAATTGTATCGATCAGTTTCTTGTCGTCAAATATTCTTGTTTAGAACACGACAGATGAGTGGCTCATTGTCAGCAGCTCGAAATTTCTTCAATTTATTCGATCGAATATCAGCCATCGACAATAGTTCCGTGGATGGTTTACAATTAGTAAGTGATTCATTTAGTAAATATCAGAGTTTTGAACAGATTAATTTTATTTCATTGTTAAAAAATATTTTAATGATAGAGTGATTTCCAAGGTGAAATCGAATTTCAAAAAATAAATTTTGCATATCAATCTCGGCCCAAGTCCCACATTCTCTATAAATTTCAATTGATTATCAAACCTGGTAAGTTCATTCTGCTTGTTTTCAGTTTAATTTGTGATCAAACCTTTCTGTTTGTCAATCAGGCCAACGTGTGGCCCTTATAGGTATGTTGAAGTCAATTGTTATTCATTCAAAATGTTTTTAAAACCTATTTGCAAAGGTGCATCTGGTAGTGGCAAATCAACAGTCATTCAGCTCTTGGAACGATTCTACGATCCTATACAAGGCCAAATCGTGAGTATTTCTCTTTTATTCTGTCAAAATATTCGTTTAAAACACTTGTCTACTGATATCTAGTGTCTCGATGGTGTTGACATTCGACAATTGAATATTCAATGGCTTCGCTCGTGTTTTGGTCTTGTTATTCAAGAGCCAATCTTATTTAATCTAACTATTGCTCAGAACATAGCATATGGTAGAGAAAACGTTTCGATTGAAGATATTATCGATGCAGCCACTAAAGCCAATATTCATGATTTCATACAGCGGTTGCCTGAAGTAAGTAAAGAATAACACATATCATTTGATTGTCTCTTTGTATTATGACAAAAGGGCTATGACACCAATGTAGGTATGAAAGGTGGTCACTTATCAGGTGGTGAGAAGCAACGTATTGCTCTTGCTCGAGTTCTTCTTCGTCAACCAAAAATTTTGCTATTAGATGAAGCAACAAGTGCCATGGACTCGTGCAATGAACAAGTTCATTGTTCTCTGATACTTGTTAATTAAATAGTCATTTCTGATATGTTTAGATTGTACAAGAAGCTCTTGAAAAAGCTGAAACAGATGATCCAACTCGAACTTCACTCATCATTACTCATCGACTGTCAACCATTCGTTCGTGTGATTTGATCTGCGTTCTTGACAAAGGATATATCGTAGAAAGTGGTACTCACGCAGATTTGATGAAACAACGTGGAGTCTACTACCAAATGATAGTTGACAGCTGTACATAATAAACTATCTTGATTGCTATTGTAATGAAACTGACTAACAATTGAAGTAAACTATTATCACTAGTTAAAGGATTCTTCAGGTTATAGAATAACTTCAAATGAAAAAAATGCGAAAAGTGAAATTTTTGTTTCATTCCAAAAAGGGAATGAGCATTTCCGTTATAATTACTTAGGGCATACCAAAAGTACGGGCAGTGACACTTTAATACCGTATAGTAGGCTTAAATAACTTTCTTTCTATATAGTCTGATAGAGAAAAAAAAGCTCTATCTTTCTATGCTATTTGATCGTACTTCAACTAATATCAAAATATTAAATTATCTATAAAACCTATTTCG